CTGTTATTTGCAGATTATTTTGAACAAAACTGTTTTCTCCTTTTTACAAATACTTACGAGTTCTAAAATGAAACTTACTAGGAGAAGGTGGCTGAGGTGCTACAAATTAAAAACAAACAACTTGAAACACATTAAACAGTTACGTGCAAACGCATGTGCAAATGAGTTGCGGAAATTATGTTATTAAATTTATGCCCACAGAGGCGAGTGGGAATTTTTTTATTATATATATCTATATCGATAGATCTATCGATCTAGAGATATAGAGATATCTCACTTATCACATTCAGCAGTGTGGGACTCAAAGTCAGCAGACACACACTTTTATGTCTTGTCTTCAAAGATGTTTTGTACAAAGTTTATTTTACTTCATATTTTTATGGGGGTAAGGGATAGGATAATTACAAGCCACAAGGCTTCAGCCTATTCCTTTTTCGGTTACTGTTTGAGTACTTTTATGTAAAATTATAATCTGTTGTTGTTGTTGTTGTTGTTGTTGTTGACTGAAATAAAAATTCATTCATTCATTCATATTTGGTACTGTTCTTTAATATTTTTGGTCAGTTTCAGTTATGCTTTTTACTTTATATTTTTACATCTTATTGCAATTCATGTACACCTATTAAGCTTAAAGCTTTGTATTTAATCTTGGTCTGTAATATCCTATGTCTACCTTGTAGTTGCACTAAGCATTCAGATGTGAAGTATTTTTATGTATTAAATTGTGCAGTAATTTATTATAAGACTTCAGCTGTGAACTGGTTCATGCAGTAGCTAAGACATCCATCCCAGAACAGGCTGTGAAATGTTTTAAAAATCAGTAACATTATTTAAAATGACATAAAAATGATAAAACAGCCAGTTTAAAGACTATAAAATAGTCCTGATGTGTTCTGTAGTATGCACTCTGGCTGCAAAGTTCTAAATAATATTTAAATACTATAACATTTATAACACACTACAGCAGAGCATAGTTGTAGTCGACCCTGGGCATTAGTTTCTTTGAGTTACTCAGAGTAAGACAGTTACAGATGGAAAAATATTTCTTGTGACACAGAAAGTGCTCCACCTACTTTGGAGCAGTTTTAGGATCAGATCAAAACAAACAATTTATACACGAGGCAAAACAAAATTTCTGGAGATAATTTACACCGATACCAGACAGGTTGATGTCTTCTGTGACATCTACCATATCACATTAGGCATATTAAAAAAATCACATTTACCAGTCTTCTCTGACATGATTTTTTTTTAGCATGTGTCGACCTCCATTTAACCCCATCAGTTACACCAGCGATATTTTAACTATTATTTAAGAATTAGTGACAGAACTATGTGAGATCTGAAGTTGTAATCTGAGTCAAAGACCACTCCCAGGGTTCTTGCTTCATGGGTTCAGGGGAGAGCTGTAGACCCTGACTTGTCTTGACTAATTAGTTTATTAAAAACTCATCTGAGTGTTAATATCTAAATAGATTTAAAGCTTGTCTTTGCATGTCTTTTCTTGTATTTAAGTGCTGTACACATATGTACATATGTTTTTATAACAGTATTTTTTAAAAAGATTTTGACATGACAGAACAAGAAAAATTGCTGGTCAGATTTTATTCTGGGGGTTTGGATGGAGACCATGATTTAAGCTGCGTGTTGCTGTTGGTAAGATAATAAGAACATTGGTGAGAATAGAGGAAGCTACTAACATGTCTTCAGAAACCACAGAACTTTCTCAGAGTCAGGTGGGAGTGGTTTTGTAGGACATACATGACCAGTATTACCGTAGGTAGCTGATTATACTGTGCTGTTACTATTCATGTTCTTCCTGACTCCTCCACAGAGTGGACCAGCAGAGCTCAGAGGTCCCCAGTGGTCAGTCTGCCCAGCAGCATCAAACACAGCTGGACTCCATATTTATGGTCTGTACATGTACAAAAACTACACCTTGTTTTGGCCTTCCCAGTTTCAATTTGTACAAAAAAACAAAATACTTTCATATGGACCACTACTGCTAAGGGCCAAAAGGAGCAACTATAAATCTCACATATGATGATTAGAGAAGGCAGAGGAGTGACCAACAACTTTCTTTTTTAAGGACAACTGGCTCTGCTTCTCAAGCCACAACATAAAATGTCTGTGAAAGTAACAGTGACTACTTATTGTCATTCGCATCACATGTTTACATGAGGTGGAACGAAATTATGTACACACGGTCCTGAAGCGAAAAGAAACAGAATAACGAAGAAACCAATTTTTTTTTAAAAAGTAATATATTTTTTTGTTTTTTGTGTGTGTGTGTGTGTGTGTGTGTGTGTGTGTGTGTGTGTGTGTGTGTGTGTGTATTTTAAAAAAACAGAACAACAACTAATAAAATAATACGATAAACAATACGATAAATAGAGTGCACAACCTGAGTACCAGTATGGAATACGGATGTAGAATGTATGTATAAATACTTTTGCAGTAAAAGGGCATGATGACCAGCATTGATAAAGTGTCAGTGTCATTAGTGATTAAGGTGCTATAATATCAGTTCTTGTCCATTTATGCATTGAGGAGTCTCACAGCTTCTGTTTCTCAGTCTGGTGGTTTTACATTTTATGCTCCTTAGCCTCCTGTCTGAGGGGAGCGGGACAAAGAGTGTATGTCCTGGGTGAGGGGGATCGTTCATGATACAGGTGGCCCTCTTCCTCCATCCGGAGGTGTATATGTTACTTGTGATTTCTAAAGTTTTCAAAAGCAAAATTTTGAGGCAGAACCTGCAGATACCAGGCTCCTCTCCTTTGGAGCCAGCTCCCAGTTTGATTCAGGAAAAAAGACACCCTCTCTAACTTTAGGATTAGTTTTTTAAACTTTCCAAATTCCCTTTAATTCATAACCTTAATAATTTTCGTCCAATCGATCTCCAATCTAACATTTCTCTCAAAGATTCTTGACATAATAGTTGCTTCTGAAGTTCATCTACACCTAACCAACAATAAACTCTACAAACCGTTCCAGTCTGGTTTCCGTCCTTCTCATAGGACTGAAGGCTCTCAGTCATCCAGGTCATCATAGTCTAAGGAGCTTGGAAAGAAAAGCGTCTGGACTTCTTTGAGTTGCTTGAAGACGTTTCACCTCTCATCCGAGAAGCTTCTTCAGTTCTAAGGTCAAAAGGTGGAGAGTCCCAGATTTAAACCCTGTAACTGTTGGCATGATGACATTGTATATAATTTGGATTATTTCTTTATCTTGTCAAGATCCATGTCATGATTGTAAATTGTTTAAGCTGTACATTACTTTGTTTGGGTTTTGTAGTCAACGTTTTGGTGCTTTTATTTTGAAAGTCAAGTTCGCTTACAAGTTGCGCTAGTTTCCGCTTTGGGTAGAACGAAGAAAAACACCTGTAAGTGCGCAGAAAGGATGGTTTTTATTGAAAGACATGTTAAGTGGACTTTGACTACACACGGTTAAACGGTTAAAGGAAACCTCAGAAGAACGGCGGCTAATTCCCTTTTTGCAGCATGCAGCCAACGAGGTATTTATTTATTTATCGTGTTTGTTGTACAGTGTTTTTACTGCTGTGTCTTATGCTGAGTTTTATTTTGTTAATGCTGTATAGTTTTCACGGTGGCTTTGGAGAGAAGTCTTCAAATAAACCAGTGACAGAAAACCACTTGCGTCTGCCTGTGCTTCGAGGGAATTACAGTGAAAACTCGGACTGTTCGTCGACGCGAGCGGCCACTAATTGACGATGCGGCAACTTCAAAGCATCAGCAGGCTTGCTCCTACATGTCTACAGCGCAGCGGAGCTGACAAGAACTGGCAGATAAGCTGAAAGTACTATATGCATATGGTGATATGACACATGCACAAGTATTAAAGGGCAGTGTTTTAAGGAAAGGTGTTTAAGTTAAGTGGCCTAAGAAGAGACTTTTTGCAAACATTGCTGAAGAATACTGTGATTGATAACTACTGTGGTGTATAGTACATCTTGTCTTGGTGTGCAAGCTAAAACTTTTGAAGATTTTAAGGTAAAAGTGCATTTGGGAAGCAATAAGTGAAGGTTTTGGATGTAAATTCTTGAACTGTTTTGAAGTTTATTATCAGGTGTATTTTTGTAAGATAACACTTCCATTTGAACTGTGTTATTTTTGTGCCATTTACATATGAGTAAGTGTTAAACATTGAGGCTTGGTTAACCATCTACATTTCTTATTTCTAAGTGGGTTGATTAAGAAGTGCTGTAAAATGTCAGAACCAAGCGAGCCTACAGTTCAGTTTAGTGACAGTGCAGACTTTCAAGATCAGTCTGAAGAAGGTCAAGTGCATGGTGCTGAAGCTCAGCAAGAGGAAGCGCAGCAGCCAAGACGAAGTGAAAGAATCAGAACTCTAACAGAGAAAGGCAAATAAATGCAAGATGAGAAAATTAAAGCACTCCAGCAAAGGTTTAACTATATATATGACAAATGGAAAACACAAGTTAAATCTGCAAGACAATCCTTATCACAGACAACAGAGACCTTATCTGAGGACTTGCTTAATGACATTATAAGTGATGTCACAGGTCTTTCTGCAGATGTCCAGCGTGTCTATGAAGAGCTACGAAAGATCTCTGCTCCAGACCAGGTCACGCGTCGTAGAGTGGATCGGTGTGTAGAGATTTCTACATTTGTTGCATCCAGAGCCTCAAGTAGGTTGCA